TAGTGAGTTCATATAATAGATTTATAATGTTTCATGTTCCGAATTCGAATCGAAATTTAGAATTTGGATTCAATACCTGATAACCTTGATATTCCTTAACGACATGGTCACGTACTTACTTCTCTTTAAATGCTTCTAAGAGTGAAGACTATCTCTACAAATTAAAACAGGTTCTTTCATCATAATTTATCTTTGCTCTAATGTGAATGTGAATGCCCTTAATTTTCTCCAACTTTTAGTTATCTTAATATATACTTACTTACAAATGTTTAGGTTAAAAGTTAGTCCATTTTTTCTTACTAGTTTTTCAATTATTTTTTGACGTGTGAAACAAAAACTATTTAATGTCAATAACAACAATTTGAGTGTCGCAACCTAAGAGTAAAAATGTAAAAAAAATCTAAGGATACCTAAAAATCGAACATCAAAATATATATATATATATATATATATATATTTTTAACCATTTAAAAATACCTTTATCGTCATTCACGAGATTCTCAACACATGTCCTTATCGTCTAGATCATGATAATTTTTGTAGTCTAATTCCAAAATCCAAAACGATATTAATTTCACATCAGATTAAAATTAATACTTAAATATATGATAAAAATATATATTGAGAAGTCAATAATTTGAATTTCTATGAAATTAAAATAATAATAAAAAAAAGTGTGTATATATAATATATATTAAATTTGGTAACGACCTATTTTTATTTTTTATTTTTTATTTTTTATTTTATGGTTGAATTAAAGAAAATGTAGAACTCCCAAAATAAAAAACAACGTAAAAGAAAAACAAAGTTGGAAAATTAATTCCACGAAACATGAATAAAAGAATTAAAATGGCAAATTAAAATTTTAAAAATACTTTTTATTTTCAAGGGAAATACTCTTCAAAATTCAATAAAATTCAAGGCACCGTGGCAACACTTTGGACGGAAAGACCAAATTACCCTCAGTTCCTAAAATGAAAATAGAAATTAAAATTAATAGAGGTCAAGGTAACCTTTTTTTTTTTAAGTAAAATTGTTATAATTAAACACTACATTATAATAATATTAATTAGGAATCAAATTCTTAATTTTACAAGTAATTTGTTATAATTAAATTAAAAAAAAATCAATCCCACAAAATTAAAAATTTATAATATGTTCTTTTAGAATTATATATATTTTCTCCTGATAGGCTGACTCCGTCATTCCTTTACGACATGATTACGTTACTTAGTCTTTATTTCTTAAGAGTGAAAACTATTCCTACAGATCAACATGAGTCATGTTTTGTTCTTACTCACATGCATCTTAGTAAAATTCTCAGAAGACCACCTAACATAGAATTGCTTCAAGTAAAATATCAGCATTGCAGACAAATTCTTAAGAGATTACCGAACATGAGTATATATATATATATATACTTTAAATTAATATTCCAAGAATAAAAAATATATATTCTCTAAATTTAAAATTTCAGGTTATCCAAAGGAAGAGAGGAAGAAGGTTGTTGGTCTTGGTTCTCAAGCCAATGAAATTAAGAACCCAACGCTTCCAAATTGATGAGCGGAAGGTCATTTTGGACTTTGACACTCTCTATTTTTTAATATTCTTTAACAAAAAAAAAAAAAAAACACTTTAATATTATTATATATTACCCACCCTTATATACATAACATTTTATTTTATTTTATTTTATTTTAAATTACACCACGAATCAGAAGTGGGGATTTATTTTAAATTAATATAAAATTAATTTTAAAATATTTAATAAATTTTGAAGCTATTCTGAATTTAAAATTATAAACTTCCTTTCACCCAGACATTTTATTTGAAAATTAAAATTTGAATTTTTATTATATTAATTTAAGTTTGAATAAACATTCAAATTTAATTACTCAACTAAATAAAATTAAAATTAGATTAAAACGTATATATTAGATAAAATCATTCTTTCAAATGAAAATTAAGTAATGGGTCATATAACATTCTTCTAAGATTTTAAAATATATCCGACCCAAATTAAAAGGATTAAAAACTAAATTTAAACTATGCTCGGGTCAACATCAAATCAAAATGTTGAAATAAGTTAAAGGTTGGATCGACGCCCGTGATTAACGCCTTCACCTATCCCACCCGTTTTGTATTAAACGAAAACTATATAATATGAAATCAAATCACAACCTTACCCCATACATCACGGCCTTTGGCTTCTTCTCTTCAAATTGCTTAGAAAAGGAGTTGGAAACTTTCATTCAAACCTTATTTTAAATTCGCATTTTTCTTTCCAATCGCTCGAGAATTAGGGGTCTTCCGACAAATTTTTTGTTACCATTTGAAATTATATATATGACCAATATTTTGGTAACCACGTTGATACATACAGAATTGATGAACGGTTGAAAATTCAATTTCTTTAAAAAAATATATATAAATTGGGTATAAAAATTGTAGGACTGATAGTTATACATAACAGATCGAAAGTGATAATATTTACTAAGCGGTTGATCTTAAGTGTTACCTAACGGGTATTCGATTATGCAAATTAAAAAAAATTAACAAGTAATTAAAAAAAAAAATATATATTATTTAAGGTCCATACTTGGGTGGAAAGGGACAGTTTACGTACTTTTTGTGCATTGTCAAACATGATTTAAATTCAATTTTCAAACATTGCCTTCTTTGTTTGACCACAAACAAACCCTTTGTTTTTTAAACCCACCAAACAAATTCCTCTCTATAATAACAACACCTTTACACTTTCATTTGTGTCTCTTCGACTACGCCCACCATCTTCCTCTTCCCTCTTTCCAACTCTTTCCCTTTTGGCTGCCATGGGAAACACCTTTGGACTCAAGAAGACGGCTAAGGTGATGACGGTCTCCGGCGACACGATCAAACTAACCCCCCCGGTTCAAGCTCGGGATGTCGTCAAGGATTATCCCGGCTTTGTTTTACTCGAATCCGAGGCTGTGAAACACTACGGAGTTCGAGCAAAGCCATTGGAACTCCACCAAAAGCTTAGCACGAAAAGACTCTATTTTCTTGTGGAGTTGCCTAAAGTTCCAAAAGAACAGGTGAGAGTAATGATATTAGAGATGTTCGGTTAACACACGATGAATAAGAAAAAAAGTGGGGAGAGATTTCTCCCCATTTACTCGACTGGGTTGGAGACGGAAATTATATTCTCTATCCTACTATGTAGTTATATGAGTTACATTAGTTATGTTTTATTTTGACATGAAGGCTCCACGGCGAGTACGGTCGGAGATCAACATGAGTGCGAAGGATAGGCTAGAGAGCTTGATGTTGTCACGACGGTCAGCATCGGACCTAACTATCATGAAACCGAAGAGCGTGTTGGCGGAGGAGGGCAGCGGGGAGAAAGAGGGATCGGAAGCGACACGAGTGAAGGTACGGCTGCCGAAGGCGGAGGTGGAAAGGGTGTTGAAGGAGAGCAGAGATGAGGCAGAGGCAGCGGAGAGGATTATGGGGTTGTACATGGCCAAAGCCACAGAAAATGTTTGTCAAAATGGACAGAAGATGGAGAAGGAGAAGGATGTCATCATCAAGCCACGTGAGGTGCGCATGCCTTTGATTTTACTTTTTTTTTTTTTTTTTAATTTTATTTTACAAAATTTGAAATGATTTTTTTTTCTTTTTTTAGAAAATGGAGAAGCGAAGACGTGTAAGTTTCATGGCGACAATAGAAGCAATGCCTCAAATTGAGGTGACAACTTAATTAACAAGAACAACAAAAATTATGGGCAAATTAATTGAAGTGACACACAGTGACGCAACTTTCTATTGAGAGTATTATGTTACGTCCTTCACTCCAATTTAAAATATTTGAATTTTGAATAGCTCGGGTAGAATATAGCTAGATTTAGTTTTTTTTTGTAAATCGGTTATGTACTTATAAATAAATTAATGTTGTACAAGTAGCTAGCTCCCTAGCGATGGAGAGCTTTTCCTTGGCTCAATATTATAGTTTAATGTTTGATATTTTCACAACTCACATCATTTACGAGAAACAAGAACTTATATTCTTGCAAACGACTTCACTTTGCTCGACTTGCTTCACATGACGAATCTTGTACATATTTATATTAGTAGGATAATATATCAAAAGACATTAATATTAAATATGAATACATGTGACTTTGCATGATTAGTGTATCAAACCATTCATGAAACTCAATTATTTATTTTATGCATTCAATGTGTCAAAAATTAATTTTAACAAGTAAGACACCATTGTATACAGATGACAACGTTGTTGTGCAAGCTATAGGAATGAAGTCAGTATAGTTGCATTTTCTATTGAAATTGTAGCTCTTATGATATATCATGACGTTTTCATTATTTTTTAAATTAATGTTATTATGTTTTCACTCTCCCATTTACTATACTATAGAAAGAAATAGAATTGTGAATCTTTTTATAAATATGCATATGAGAAATAATCTATGATCAATATATATACACATGCAAAATATCTTACATATGAATCATGCTTCAATAGGATATTGCATTTAGTAGTTTAATAAAATCATGACATAAACACTTTAGTGAAACTTTATAGTACATTTTAATTCGTGGGCTTGGAAATTGGCTAGTGTGGGAGCTGGGTCGTGTCAATGTTGCCTATCTTCAGGTGTTGGGATGGGTTTGTGGGATGAGTTTCGACTCGTCCCCGATCCAACCCGACAGATCTCGTCTCCCTTACCCGAAACAAACTCAAATCTGCACTTTCACCTCTCCTCCAGCGATCTTCCATGACAGCATTTTGGTTGTGGATTCGTGGTGCTAAGGTTCTAAATATGAATTTCTATCATATTGACTCTTCTACTATGTATCCCTTTGTTTCAGCCAATCACCAAATTAGTTATTTTTTAAAAACTATTAATAATAATAGTGTTCAAGGACAAAACTAGCTTAGTTTGTATCCTTCAAATATGAAATGTTACCATTCCTACTAACAGCAAACCATGACAGTATGAAATCAGAGGGTGCAATGTTTCTTTCAGTATATTCTAATCTCAAAACTCAGAAGATGTTCTTACAGAAAGGAACTGGACAAAGAAAAGGGTAAAAACAAAAAAAAAACAGAGTCCAAGTATTCCCAAACAGTACCTTCTTTTTGGTTATAGCAGAGATTTGTTAAGAGAGCCAGTAAATGAATCTATACACACTTGTACAATATAATGAAGGAATGAAGTACGCAGATTCAAGGAGTGTGGCCTTCATTAGCCATCCATCCTTAAATTCTTTGTTGCCACAATCAAAGAGAATGAGCTGAAAATCAATTGTCAAAAGTACTCAAAAGTTGGAGAAGTAAGGAAAATGATTGTTGATAAATCCTTACCTTATCTATAGCTGCTGCTGCAGCGTTCGAAGATGCTCCAACAGAGAAATAGCTTTCCTCTTTGCTCGCTCGGTGCCACTCTTGGCGAGCTCGGTCAGTGGAATCACGGCACCCAGCCTACTCATGCAGGAAAGATTTTCTGTATCTCTCTTACACAAAGCAAGCAAAATTGCAGCAGCGTTTTCTTTGTTGCGAGGCAATCCGGTCCTCAGCAGGTCTATTAGAACAGGTATGGTACTGGCTTTCACCATCGCTACTTTTGCTTCTTGATGGCTGGCCAGGACCGACATTATTGTGAGAGCTTCGTCGACCATGGAGTTAACCGAGTCCGTAAGCATCTTTAATAGAGCTGGAATGATCCCTGCCCTCACAGACCTTCCCTTGTTACCCTGATAAATACACAAATTAAATAGTGCTGTTGCAGCATCCTTCTTCCCTCTTGAGCTTCCATTTTCAAGTAAATTCACAAGAGCCGGAATGGCCCCAGAATCACCAATGATTATCCTATTTTCATCAGCAAGAGACAAGCTGAAAAGTGTTGCTGCTGCATTTTCTCTCGCTTCCATACTTCCAACTCTCAGAACTTGGACAATGGAAGGTATGGCACCAGCAAGCATAATGAGTCCCTTGTTGTTCTCATATATTGAAAGGTTCAGAATGGAAGTAACTGCATTTTCTTGTATTAAAACATCATCAACCGTTAATAGATTGACCAAAGCAGGAATTGCTCCTGCTTCAGCAATCAGTATTCTGTTATCCGTGCTTCTTTTCGATAGAGATCGAAGTTCGGTCACAGATGCTCTCTGCTCCTCGATTGAATGGCTAGTTAGTTTCCGGACCAGAGTTTCAATGGCTGCCATCTCCTCACACACATCACGGTACGATCCATCACACTTTTTGATCTTCCCATTGGTTAGTCCTGTAGGTTGCTCAATATTGTGGTTAACACACCATTGACTAATAAGACTTCGCAGCACATAATTTGGGGTGAGATTCAAATTTTGGAGCTTCTGCTGAGTTTTGGGACAAGTAGTATTCCCACAATCTATCCACCTCTGTACATAAGATCTCTCATACGTCTGTGTTGTAAGAAAAAGCACTATTAAGAAAAGGCATAAAAGAATTCAAGTTGTTCAAACTCTAAGCTCAAATTCATAAAGAAAAAACAAAAAAAAGGTTAAGACATATATCATCTACTAACCGGTGAGAGCTTCAAATCACCCACGAACTTAAAAAAAACTCGTCAAAAAGAACATCAAGTAATTCGTGGAAGTCAACAGCCTACCTGGCCTGTGGACACAATAACAGGATCCCTCATGATTTCCAGGGATATGGGGCATAAAAAATCATCAGGGATTGGAACCGCGTCTGGGTTCTTCACCTGGTCTCCACTCTTTTTGGCAGAGTCATTCTGTCCATCAGAACAACCCTCTGAGGAGGATGGAAGTTTCTCAAGCTGATCCTCACCCCTATTCATCAAACCTCTACAATTTGGAAAGGCATCAAATTTCACTGTAATCTCATGATCAACTATACCATTCTCCTCAACATGAAAGTTATCAACACAGTTGTTCAGGTTTAACAGGTCCACATTTTTCTTCAGCAACTGAGATTGAACAACTGATGGCGGAATTGCAGTCAGAGACCCATATTTTTCAGCTGCTCTTCCCAACTGAGCTCTCACTAATTCAACCTAGAGATTCATTGAAATATTATATGATGATCAGAAATTGAAAAATCAAACAGTGGATTTTCCCTTAAATCCTACCTGTTCTTGGACTTCCTCTGATATATCAAGGCGATCATAAGGAAGATTGCTCAATGCCTTCTCTAACTTCCATGTCACGCATTGGAATTGAAAGATGATCTTATTGGCAACTTCTTCCTTCAAAATTAAAACGTACAGAAATTTCAGAAAATGTATACTGAGACTCATCAACACTGCCCCATTATGAACATATTTCGAAAATTAGAAAATTGGCCATGAACGTCAAAGTTTGAAATGCTATATGAGCAAAGAACAAGAAGCTTAACCAAAAATAGAATACGTGATAGCGGTGCTCCAAATTTAGAAGTCAAAGTTCATCCCACATGTCCGCTTGAGCTTAATTTGTGCAATTGGATACTCAAAGATGCAGAAAACTGTATATCTCAACAAATACATATCTCTGAGGCAATATTATGAACTAAATTTTGGGTACGCCGTAAAAATCAATGAAATTAGGGGTCCTGTTTTCCCCTTATGGACTTCGAATGACAAAATCAACATCAGCCAAGATTACTAGGACAATATACAAGATTAGTAAATGAAAATCTGTAACCAAACATCAAATATAGATCGTGAGAATCAAGAAGCCGTTCATTCAAGCAGTAGCTCCACAAAGCACAAATTCCAAACCGAAAAGCTAGGTCAAACCTAAAAAAAGGGATCGATAAATTCAGCAACAAAATATGGTGTGCTAAATCAAACCTTCAAGCTAGAAGAAAGTGAAGTGAAGTTGCAGAGGAATGCAGTGACTGAAAATCAAAACAAACACCATCAAGTTGAGATACAGCCCTCCAAGTTTCTCAAGCTCCTAACTCCTCTTCCCCTAAACCCAATTTCATTAATAAAAGAACCAAAAGAAAAAGAAAATTAGTCAGAGCGCTTACAGAAGAAGAACCGCAGGACCGGAAAGTCGAAGCGGCAAAAATGAGGCGCTCAGTATCCTTCAACGCCGCCACTAAATCACATAGCCACGAAGACGGAGACGAATCCCTCACGGTAACAGCGCCACAAGAAGAAGAAGATGCACCAACATGTCGAAATTTGACGCCATTAAAGTCTCTGATCTCCTCAAACAAATGCGTCAAAAGCACGATCCGACGCACCAGATCGGTACAATCCCTCTTGAAAACCCCTCCACTGCCCGTCCCCGCCGACATTCGAACGACATCGCGAACAAAATCCAGTAAAGCCGAAGCCGGTGGACAGTCACTGCCGCCGGCGAAAATCCCGGCCATTACTCCGACCAAATTGCCTGCGATTACGCAATGTATTTGCGTTTCAGTTGAGATTCTGTAAGTGGGTTATCTTCACAGAGAGCTGAAAACTCGAGAAAATTTGGAACAGACAAATGGAAGAAATTTGGGAGAGAGAGAATCTGAGGAGTGTGAACCAATAGAAAATGGAGGAGGAGTAAACAAGGAGGATACAGTTGGAAACGGAATAAAATGAATTGTGTAAACAGACAACAATATTTATTTATTTATTTCTCTTTCTAAATTATTATCTTATTGTCTTTATTTAAATTCGCTGTTGAATCCAAGAAATTAAAATCAAGTTTATCCAACTCTTAAAATATTTGTTCTTGTTTTCCTTTAAAAAAAATAAAAATAAAATAAAAATTGTTTGATTGTTTCAAACCAAACAAATTGTTGAACGTGTAGGGATGAAATTGGGTGAGTGTGGGCTAAATTATTTTTTTAATCAATAATTAATTTTATATTTTAAAATGACTATTTCAATTAACCCTCACAAATTTGTCCAATAATTATATAATTTTATTATAAGAAAAATATATCAATTACAGCTGAGTTATGCTCATTAATAATGAAGATTCAAACCTGTTATAATTATATTTGTATTATCGATTCGAATGTGTAATAATTGATTAAACGCTAATACTATTGAGAAACCGAACTTGGGGGATGAGATGAGGAGTTTGGGAAACAATGGGTATACTTGGGGATTTGCAAATTGGAGAAGTGAGAAGGACAAGGCTGCCCCCACCCATGTTCTTGCCTTGTCTTTTTGTCCCTACACACAACCTCAGTCAGTAGCAACAGTTACCGTTTTCCCGTTAAACTTGTCTGCTCAAATGTTATTTTTTCTTTTTTAAAAAAAAAAACATGAATTATTTTATCCAACTTAATGTCATTTTTTACCTTAAATTTAAAATTTATTGTAATTTTCACCCTAATTTGTAATTTATGGTAGATTTTCGTTAGAAAAACCCTAGAGACGGTATTTTCACGTGCATTCATTTAATAATAAAACCTATATTTTGTATGAAATTAGAATAAATGATAAAATAAAAAACGAGTAGTCACATTAACTCATCGAAATATCTAATATTAAATTAGTTAAAAAAAATCATAATGTAGCGAACATGTGGCATATAAAATAATTTGCATATAAAAACTTATATTAACAATTTTTGTTCTCACCTTTATTAATAGAACACTTACTCTATTGAACCTAACACAAATGCGAAAAGGGAGATTTTTTTTCATGAAGATGATGTTTTTGTAAAATTAATAAGGCTTAAATTTGGAGCTTCAATCGAGACATATAAGTTACTCACCGTTAAAAAATTTATACGTAGAGCGAGAGATTCGAACCTCTAACTTTTTGATCAATAATACAATAAAGTTTACATAGTTCAACAGTAATTAACAAATACTCATTTTTTGAAGGTTAGAGTTTAAATTCTGATACATCACTTATTGTATTGTCTTGTACCTCAGCATGATATCGTAAAGATTGAAGATCAGGTGGGTCTAGAGTAGCACCGAAAACTTTATACATAATATTTTTGAAAAGCATAGACAAAGTTTTATTTAGAGTTTATTCAAATTTTAAGAGCGTTTAATATGGTTGCTCATACTAAACGAACATTTATATATGTCGGTCAATTTTATTTATTTTTTTTAATTTTTATTTGTACTAAAAAAACATCAAAGTTTTAAGTTAATTAATTATAAATAATAAATTTGTTTTATTTTTTATTTTTTATTTTTTATTTTTCTCTCTCCAGCCATACGCAAGTGGCATTTTCGGTGTTATCTAGAGAGAGAGAGAGCACATGCTGCCCTCTTCCGGTTGGTGGACGGTTTTCAATGACAGCTGTCACATTTTATTTTAATTTACCGAAATAGTCAAAATTTTTTTAAATCATTTTAATTTCTTAAAGAGCTCAAATTCGTTTATTTAGTTTATGAAAATTCCAAAATTATGTTCCTAAGAAGATAATATGGGATTTTGTTTGTTCCAAACGCATCTCTTCTTCCCATAAAATATTGTGCGTATCATATTGTTCTTAAGCTAAATATTTTTAATTAATTAAAATATCCCTATGCTTAGTTTATTATTGAATTTTAAACTTTTTATTATCAATTGATTAAAAAAATAATTTTGAAAAACTAAAAATTTAGATTTATTGAAATTGAATAAATCTTAAAATATACCGGTTCTTAAAATAAAGTTTTTAAAATCGGTAACATAATGTTAGTTTATTATTAATTTATTATTTCATTACAAAATTTAGACAAATATTTTTTAAAGCAAGTTGTGAATTTAATCTTTTTACAATAATAGAAAGAAAAAATGAATATTTGACTGTGTTTGACTAATCACGAAGACTCGGTCAAAGCTTGTGCGCCCAAAATAAATACCTATTCTATTATTCTTGTATTATTTAATTAAAATATATAATTTTGGATCAAAATATAAAAAGAAAAAGAAAATATTTATTGTTGATTAGTTCAAATCTCATCTATTTTATTTTATTTTATTTTGGTTGTTTAAACGTTTCAAATATCTTTTAAGTTTACTATTTTTTTTTGCATACCAACTCGATGACGAAACAGGTGCAAAATCTCAATAAACACGTTTTAAAACCATGAGACTGCCGACAATTTATAATAGACTAAAGCGGATAACTTAAGCTGTTACAATAACATTTCTTTTCGAAAGACGGTCGAATCCTTGAACTCATGAAGTCTATTAGCTTAATTTGTTAACATCTACGAGGCATTTTTTATTAACACAATGGCATCTAGCTCTAAGCTTGAAATCAACACACTTGGTGTTAAAGAGATATTCCAAATGGAAAGTATGTTCCTACCGAGTTTTGAAGAATTCAAAGAGCAGCCCGTGGGTTCGTTCAAAAGCTTGTACGTTCGGTGGCAGCGTCCGGAAAAGCAAGTCGTCAATATTGAACGCCATGGCTAATCATTGTCCTTTATAACTCATCACTGAACGTCTACTTTCCCTTGCAATTTCTCCTCATCCTTTCAAAATTTTCTCTCATTTTCTTTCCCCGGAAACGAACGTCATGTCTTCCTTGATCATTCCTCCTGTTCTTACTACTCCACGGGACGATGCTGCCCTACTTTACCGCGCCTTTAAAGGTCAGTCTTCTAATTCTATTTCTGTGTAAGTTTCTTACGTCTTTTGTTTTGGTACTGATTTTTTTCTTTGCGGATTTGGGATCGGATTCTACATTTATTGAAAAGTCTTGATCGGACAGGGAAAAGTGAGGGAGAATCTGTATGGTGATTAATTTCTGAATGGATTGAGTTAGATTGAAATTGACTGAGTTCAGGTGCCCTAAGTGGTGAAGGTGGAGGCGGAAGGAGATTGAAATGGAGTCTGGTGACTGAGAATTTTGGTATTGATTTTGTAGGGTTTGGCTGTGATACTGCTGCAGTTATCAATGTTCTTGCACATCGAGATGCAGCACAGCGTGCTCTGATTCAGCAGGAATACAGAGCCATGTACTCTGAGGAACTCTCCAAACGCTTGAAATCTGAGCTTAGTGGCAAAGTTGAGGTGACTCTCTTGGTTTTCATTACAGATTTATAGTCCCATTTCTGTTTCTGGTTACTTATTTCTCTCTCACTCTATTTTTAGTTTAATTTTTAGTGTTGTGCCTTCAAAAGGTTCACTATCATTCTTGTGCTTTTAAATTTTTTTTTTTTTTTTGATCATTTTGATTTCTTTTAGCATAATTTTACCACAATTTTTGTTACACATCAAAATTCTTTTACTAGTGTCGGGCTAGAGATGTCTACCGGCGAAGGAAGAATCAGAGTAGTCTAATTGTCAATATTTCCATCTCTTATTTCAATTCTTGTTCCCTTATTTTGACTGAATTTTGATGGGCAACAAATTTTTTTTTTTGGCATATTTAATATATTTTTAAAAAAATATATGTTTCCACAAAATTTTTATTAATAAATTAAAACATTTTAATAAACCCAATAATTATAAGCAAAAATATAATATAATATTCAACCTAATTTCTCTCCACTTAAATTTCAATATTACCATATAATTTTCTAATAATTAATTAATTAATTAATTACTAAATAAAGTGAAAAAAAATATATATAATATTAATATATTTTATATTTATATATATAAAAAGTGGGGCGGACAGGACAGGGATTTGGGCTGGGTTGGGGGCGGTTTACCCAATGGAGACGGGTTAAATGGACACTTCTTGTGTCTGGAGTTGTGATTGAATGAAATAAAAAAGAATATGATCAAACAAAAGAACGAGTTTCTCAGTTGCTTGTCACTCGTGAATATTCCTGATCTTATCCTTTTGTTTTTGTGTTGCTGCAGGATGCAATTTTACTATGGATGTATGATCCAGCAACAAGAGATGCTGTTATAGTGAAGGAGGCTATATATGGACAAACTGTTACTCTTAGAGCTGCCACTGAAGTCATTTGTTCTCGTACACCATCGCAGATTCAGCATTTTAAACAAGTTTACTTGACCATGTTTCATTCTCCCCTTGAACGTGATATTCAAAATAGTACTACTGGTGATCACCAAAAGGTCCTACTCTTTCTTTGTTGTTTATCAGTTTGTGATGATATTGTTCTGTTTCTTGGCTTTAAAGCCTGCCTTATCAGTTGTATGTGAAATGAGTACTGAAGTATGAAAAGACTTTAGGATAATGGGTTCAAACCCGATGTTGCCACCTACTTAGGATGTTAAAATCCTATCAGTTGGAAAACTTCGAGGTGCGTGTAACAGTCCAAGCTCACCACGGGTAGATATTGTCTAGCCGTCAGCCTCACGATTTTAAAACGTGTCTACTAGGGAGAGGTTTCCACACCCTTATAAGGAATGTTTTGTTTCCCTCTCCAACTGATGTGGGACCTCACAATCCACCCCTTTGAGGCTAATAACAATACTTAATGGGCCAAAGTGAACCACATCTGCTAGCGGTGGGCTTGAACTATTACAAATGGTATCAAAGCCAGGTTCCGGGCAGTGTGCCAGCGAGGACACTGGGTGTGGAAACTTCTCCCTGGTAGAAGCATTTTAAAATCGTGAGGCTAACAGCGATATGTAACACGCCAAAATGGACAATATCTACTAGCAGGAGGTTACTGACTTCACACTCCTATTTTATAGCCCTTTGTATGTTTGGAAAACGCTAGACAAAAGGGATGATAGCTGGTGCCTAATCGTCATACAAGCATTGAACTCTTATCTTAAAGTTGAAGCTGAGACTAATGGCTTTTATTCGACTCATCTTTTATCGGTCACTAACTACTTCTGCAATGATAAGCCAATCTGATAAAAGAATATTATTTCTTTTCAGCTGCTTTTGGCTTACGTTGGTAAACCACGCTATGAAGGCCCAGAAGTAGACGGATCTCTGGTACAAAAAGACGCCAAATCTCTGTATAAAGCTGGAGAGAAGAGATTGGGAACTGATGAAGATAAGTTCATAAAGATTTTCAGTGAAAGAAGCAGAGCACATCTCTGTGCTGTTAGTCATGCTTATAAACATACATACGGACAATCTTTGAAAGAGGTGTTTGATCGAGCTTTATCTTTCTTTTAGAATACATAAAGGTTCAAGGTTAACACAAGAACAAATTCATTCTGCAGGCTATAAAAAAAGAAACATCTGGGCATTTTGAGCATGGCCTTGTAACAATTTTGCTGTGTGCTGAGAATCCTGGGTTTTACTTTGCAAAGGTATTGTCCCCACTCTTTGAATGTGCTAGCCGATATTGTCCCTTGCTTTCCCTCAAGATTTTTAAAACGTGTCTATTAGGGAGAGGTTTTCACACCTTTATAATGAATGTTTCGTTCTCCTCTCCTACCGATGTGGGATCTCCATTGATACCCTTATAATGAATGTTCCGTTCTCCTCCCCTACTTACGTGGGATCCCACATTGATACATTCATGAATGTTTCTAAAAATATGGTGAATTCCACTAAAAAATATGTTGAATTCCAGGCTTTGCGGAAGGCGATGAAGGGATTGGGAACGGATGACTCCACTCTGATAAGGATAATTGTGTCAAGAGCTGAGATAGATATGCAGTACATAAAGGCAGAGTACCACAAGAAGTATAAGAAAACCCTAAACAAAGCAGTTCATTCTGAGACATCAGGCAGTTACAGGGACTTTCTTCTCTCCTTGTTGGGTCCAGATCATTAGACTACAACAACTGCACTGTGGATCAAGTGGATGTAGGATTCTAAAAGTTCTTAAATTCCTTCATGTTTGAGTTCATGAAAGCTTGTGATCTTTTCTTTTTCTTTTCTGTAATTATTGTATGTGCTTTGTGTAAGTTTAGGCTATGAACATCCACTGTATGACGTTCTAAGTTTGTTCATCGTACATTGATTGTTTCGAAGTTTTATTTTGAAATGAATGTATTTAGTGTGTTAGATGAACACGACACGACTCTCCACAGTGGTATGATATTTGTCCACTTTGAGCATAAACTCTCGTGACTTTGCTTTGGGCTTCCTTCTCATTTCAATGGAGACAGTATTCCTTGATCATTTTCTGATGTGTGGGACTTTCATCATCCAACGTGGTAATCCTTATTTTAGTTCTTACTTCTTAGTTTTAAGTGAGTTTATGAAATTGTATGCAAATTGAGTCTAATCATTGTTAATATTTTATTTAAAAAATACCATTAATTTTTTTTTGACTTGTTTTAAAAATATTTTTAGTCTTTTAAAATTCCAATAATATATATATATATATATATATATATATATATGAAAATTGTAAGTCTAATTTATAATTTAGCCAAAATGATATTTATTATTATTATTATTATTATTTAGGGGCAATAAAAATTAGTGACCTAATTGGTCTGGGGGCATCAATCCAATCTCAATTGCCCGAGCATTTTGCGAACCTTGTCACCCGCGCTGTGCCCGTGTGGTTCAGCTCTGTAAAATATCAATTTGATGTGTTGAATGCTCGATAAAGCAAACAAAGAAGCATTTGAGCGCGCTCATTCCCCACTCTATTAGTTGCTGTTAGACTGCAATCGTCACCTTCACTACGAATGTTTTGGCCGCTTCGAACGTCGGATGTTCATGAATTAGAGCTCACGATCCTTTGTTAAGGTTAGAATTTTCATCTCACAGGCAAGTTTCAGTACTCGTTCTGAAATGGCGGTTCAGTTACTTACGAATGAAGTGCAATGTTGAGTACAAACAAATGATAAAAGAGTTGTCATCCTTCTAATTTTGCGAACTATTTTGTTTGTTATGGCTATTTTGATTCTCAATTTACGGGTGGATAGTCCGCTTTTTTGTTTATTTTGGAAGAAAGAACTATATTATACTACTAGCTGAGGTTAGTAGTTGGGTGGATGTTAATTCAATGAAACACCAGTAATTATTTTACGCGTTTCCGGTTCCTACTGCATTAAGCTTTGGTCAGTTTTGAAGTTTCTTGGCTTGATGTTAATCTTTTTGTTCTTTTGCAGTTTTTTTTTTAGTAAGCTTTCCCTGTCGGTCTGATGTTTTCGGTATTCAGGCATGCATAGCGTTCCCTGTACTCTTGTTGGGCATGGCATTGATCATCTCAATCGTTCATTCGTGTGGCCTGGTATGACTGTCTGTATGTTTATACTGGAACTGTGCACTAATTATTTGAAAGGTCACGGAAAAAGCTACTATGTTGTAGTGAAAGTGGATAGGTGATTCTTTAAATATGGGTTTTATTGGGAAATTCAGGATTATTTTTTTTCCTGGACATTGTACATGAGATTGGCATGGTTAAATGGTCTAACTAACTGTATATGCAATGCACTGTATTAGAATCCTTTAGTTATATCCCCTTTTTTGAATCTTGACCAATTTGAGAGCTTATATTACTCCTTTGGCTTGTGAGATGCCTCATCACCATCTCTCTTCTGTTTACCTTCTTTCACGATGACATATTTCTTCAAGAATATTAACATCTCTTTGAATGGCTGAATTTAGTGCTCAAGGATCATCCTTTCAAGGGTGACCAGAAAGTTCTTTGCATGCAAATCAACGGGGTTCATATTTGGCTTCTTTGGAATGAGCGAAATGCTAGAATTTTCCTAGAAAAGGGAAAAAAATATAGAACCCATGCCAGATGCTATTCTATTTTTGGCTCTATTTTGGTTTTAAAGAGCCCCTTCTCTTGTATCTTAGGTTAAATTCTCTATGTCTAGCTGGAGAATCTTTTTGTAATTATCTTGGAGTTTCTCCCCTTTTGTATCATTTGATCTAATCAATGGCATTGTTTCCTATCCCCAAAAAAAAAAAAAAAAAAAAAAAAAAAAAAAAAAAAAAAAAAAAAAAATGGAGGAAGAAGAAAAAGAAAGAAAGCCAGAGTATAAGGGGTTTTTTCTTTCATTCTTCTCCTTCATGCTACCGCAGCTGGCTTCTTATGTTTGGTCACTAGAAGTTTATTTATTATTCTGTCCCTAGTTTTCTGGAATTCCCTATATGGACTTCATTTTAAAGTAATTATTTGTTTATCATAGGATTCTTGAATTGATGTGAAATTCTACTTTATTTCCCCTTCCCTATTTATCTTTTGTTAGAATTAATTTGGACATGGTGCCTAGGGGTGTATGAATGAATGGGGTTTCCTTTTTTAGTGCTTCAGTGGACATCAAATGAGAAGTGTAGCATTGCATGTTGAAAAAAGATATCGGAATGCTGTGGGTGAAAGCATGAGGTATTATTGATATCTCATTATCAACTGCTTGAAGTTATGGTGAAATACCAAATGCAGACTATTTGATTAGCGCATCACCTCTTCTGTCTCAGGTTCCATCATGTTCTTTCCATGCTACCAAAGTTGTGCTCAAGAACAAAGCACACGTTTGCAGGTGATTTGTTTGAAGTGGGTAAATATGGCACCACAAGCATCTCAAATCGAGGAAAGTTGCTAGATAAGGTAAGCAATTGATGTAATCTTTTGTATGTTACAAGATGAAATCGTTCTTTTGTTATATTTCCAGTTGGCAGTTTTAGCACTCATTGTTACTTCATCAAACTTGCTGGTTGGTATGAACATTATAACCCTCATCATCTAGGTTACTTGTAGTGATGAAATTCATCTATTGGATACAAACCTAATATCTCGCAACTCCAAACTATCTTCACACTCTTTTCTCGCAACCTCACCTACATTGACTATTCTCTCTAATGTAATGCCTCTCCTTTATGCTTTAAGAGTGGTGGTTATTAGGGGTGCAAGAAAAAACCCAAAAACCAAAAAGATTGTTTAAACAACTGAAACCGATCGTCAGTTTGGGTTGGAATTGGTTTGGTTGGTAGTCCGAGTTTTAGTGTAAGAACAAACAATTGTATTCAGTCGGGTTCGTGAGTGGAAAAAATAAAACCAAAAAGCCGGAACCGAACAATAGTTTGTATAATAAACATTGAAATCTTTGTCACTAAGCACTCTCTCTAATTGGCTTTGGAATGTGACTTGCAGCATCCAAGTTAGTTTGAGAGTGCATCAACCATTCTTTTGTTTCTTTCTTTTTATAGTTTTTTTTTTTTTAAATTGAGATATCCACATCCATTCAGCTTCCAGCTTCGTGGGGACCACTGTACTTCTACAGCACTAAATATTATGCAATTTTTGGTTTTTTTGGTTCTTTAACTTTGCTTCATGAATAATCATGAGTTGATATCTAACTGTTCTTTGATATATTTAAATTTGGTTTGTTTATAGATATCAGTTGTGATGGCTCATGATGATTATATTGAGAATGGACAATACAACAATCAATCTAATTCAATTCCATCAGATACAGATGATGATTGTAATGTTTCTGTAGCATGTAAAAAATTTCCATCCATCATTTTGGGAAGTTCTCCTCCAGTCGAATTATTTGATGGCTCTGCATGTTATTCAGACATTGCGAGTTTTTTATCAGCTAAAACGGGTGAGAACTTTCTTCTGAATTCAACTTGTGAAGAGTGGGTACAAGATAGTCTGGATGGAACTCTGTCTTCCCTGTACTCTGTCCTTCCAGATGTAGGTAATTCTTCAGTAAGTGAAGAATATACTTATAGTGCTGGTTCATCTCTTCTGCCTAAGAATATTGAGACTGGAACAATATCTAGTAATCCAGCTGTCGAAGAAGATTCTTCAAGAAAGGCGTTAAAATCACAAAATAATGCAGTATCTGGCAGATCATTTCTTGACCAGTCTGTTGGTTGCATACCTGGATTAAGTAAGAGGCATCAGCGCCAGCTTGATGAGAGCGGCTTCCACACGGTGGGTTTTTTTTGTTTCTATTTTTTGTTCTTATTTGAAGAACAGATAAAGCCTCAAATATCTATATATAACTATGTAAGTTGCCTTGGACTAATTTTGTTCCTTCTGTTTTCTAGTTAGGGAAATTACTACATCATTTTCCTCGAACCTATGCCGACTTACGGAACCCACAGGTTAATATTTATGATGGACAATACTTGATCTTTATAGGGAAAGTCTTGTCATCAAGGTGTCATTCTCTTTCTCCCTCCCTTTCTTTTTTATTTTCACCTTTTTTGTTCAAAAATGCATTTAATTTCTTGATTCGATGTAAACTGATATGCTTTTCTGATTTTTCTTTGGCATCATCCAGTTTTTAAGCTATTGATTCGTCAAATGAGTAGTTGTATCAATTCAAGGTTTATGGCCTCTGATTTTATAGGAGTGCCTTTGGAGGGAAATTTTCCTTGATAAATTAGCTTCATAATTGAATAATGTTCTGCTGTCAATAGAGGCGTTAATGTTCTCTAGTATTCCAACATATCACCTACCCCTCTTTGGAATACTTCAAAGTTGGCCAGCTACTTGAAGAAAATTAGAAATGTCTCTTGGAAAGACGTGGGCAGGTTCTAGTTAACTGGAAGGTCTTTTTGCTAATAGATGAAGGTGGTCTTTGTTTCGGTAATTTCAGAAACAGAAATTTTGCTCTTGCTGTAAAACAGCCAAACCAGGCACTTTGTAGAGGACAGCGATCAATTACTTCGCATTCTCTGTGGGATGGATGGCTTTCCTAGAGATGCTGTCAGTGTCAGATGTCCTTGGGAGTTTTGTTTCCACATGTTGTCTTAGGTCTAGCAGGTGTATGAGTTCCAGTTTGGGATAGCTGGATGGCTGACCACATTCTTTCTAAGGTGCTTGGTCGAGGAATAATCTTTGGGAGGAGAATTTTACATTATTTCTTGTCCAATACATGTAATATTCCCATTTCTAAATTCTGGTACGAGCAACATTTAGGGTTACTTTTTCTGAAGAAATTTTGTTGAACATGATTGCTGGAAAATGGGAAATGCATTAGTTTTTCTAATTTTCTTTAGGCTGTCTCCCTTGAACATTTACCAAATCCTAAAAAGTGGAAGGTTGATCATTTGAATGTGGGACTTTGTCGTCTCAAATGAT